AAATCATGCATTTATAATGCATTTATAATACATTTTTCACATGAGCAAATATCAGTTACGAATGCCTGTTGAGGCACTTTGACAGGTTATAATAGAATTTTAAAAGTGTATCCCATCTTCTTGTAAAGAAAGCAGTCTTCTTAAAGACAGTTCCAAGCAATATTTAATTTAGCCCCAAAATACATCTTGAAAATGAAGAAAAGAATAATTGAATTTTGATGGAGGGTTTTATTATTGACTAGTCTCAAACTTGAAAGAGGACCAAAAATGTCTGTGACAATAGGAGGTATTGTAATTTATTTTACATTGTTGATGGTGAATTAGCTTTGCACTTGTGGCTCAGCCAGACAGGTGAAATGGATTATATTAAAGTATACCATATTGCAAGTATTAGTGGTACTGCCCTGCTAGAGTCTACCATATTCCATTCAATAGTGGTATTCCCTGATAGCAGCATACCATATTCCATTCATTAGTGATACTGCTGTAATGCCATATTCCATTCAGTAGTGGTATTTCTCTGATACAGCATTCCCTTTTTGCTAGTGATACTGCCCTAATACAGCATGCCAGTGGTACTGCCCTAATACATCATACCATATGCCCTTTGGTAGTGGTACTGCCCTAATAAATCATACTATATTCCCTTTGGTAGTGGTACTGCCCTGATACATTGTGCCATATTCCCTTTGGTAGTAGTACTGCCCTAATACATCATATCATATTCCTTTTGATAGTGGTACTGTCCTAATGCATCATACCATATTCCCTTTGGTAGTGGTACTGCCCCAATGCATCATACCATATTCCCTTTGGTAGTGATACTGTCCTAATACATCATACCATATTCCCTTTGGTAGTGGTACTGCCCTAATGCATCATACCATATTTCCTTTGGTAGTGGTACTGCCCTAATACTTCATACCATATTCCCTTTGCTAGTGGTACTGCCCTAATACATCATATCATATTCCTTTTGATAGTGGTACTGTCCTAATGCATCATACCATATTCCCTTTGGTAGTGGTACTGCCCCAATGCATCATACCATATTCCCTTTGGTAGTGGTACTGTCCTAATACATCATACCATATTCCCTTTGGTAGTGGTACTGCCCTAATGCATCATACCATATTTCCTTTGGTAGTGGTACTGCCCTAATACATCATACCATATTCCCTTTGGTAGTGTACTGCCCTAATACATCATACCATATTCCCTTTGGTAATGGCACAGCCCTGATACATTGTGCCATATCCCATTCATTGGTAGTACTCCCTGCATGCAGCTTACCATATTCCAATAACTAGTGGTACTGCCCTGATACAGTGGACCATATTAATTTTTCAGTAGTGGTACTGCCCATATGTAGTGTACCATATTGTATGCAGTAGTTGTACCAAGCCAGAAAACACAGCTAATCATACAGTAGTTGTACTGCTCAGATACAGTGTGCCATTTTGTATGCAGTAGTTGTATTGCCCATTTACATTCTACAATATTACATACAGTAGTTGTATTGCCCATTTATATTCTACAATATTACATATAGTAGTTGTGTTGCCAATGTAAATTGTGCCATGTTGCATACTGTATTTGTTTTGCCCATATTCATTGTACCATGTTGCATACTGTATTTGTTTTGCCCATATTCATTGTACCATGTTGCATATAGTAGTTATATTGCTGTATTCATTGTACCATGTTGTATATAGTAGTTGTATTACCCATATACATTGTACCATATCACATGCAGTAGTAGTATTGACCATATACATTGTACCATATTCCATACAGTAGTTGTATTGCCTATTTTCATTTTACCATAATTGCATATAGTAGTAGTAGTAGTAGTGGGTGTGACCTAATTATGGCACTGTTGTACAGTTTTCCTTTTCATTGCAATAGATGCAGTGGTGGGATGTGTGGAATGGTGTGAGAATAATCATGTTTCTTAATTCTTTCCTGAGATCACTTATGTAAAGACATTAAAGGTAAATTATCTGTAGAAAAAAATAATTTTCACATGATTGGAAGGTGTTGTCAAAATTTAACTTTTCATTCTTTCTGCAGAAAAGTTGTCAATAGATGAGGAAAATTTTTTTTGCACCTATCTTAAATAATTCTGGGAATATTCAACTATGTTCTTAAAATTTGTGTCCAAATTTTTAAGAGTGTACACTCCACTTCTGAGATATACAATAGAGGCACTGATTCTCTACTGACTTGCTTTATCTGTACCTTCATTTCAGTCTAACAGACATCTATAATGATCCCTAAAGTATCCTCTGATGTTGATGAAGATTTTTAATGTCTTGTAATAAATTACTAGGTTTTGTGCATTTTTATGTCCTGCTATATTTTATTGTAGAATACTGTATATAAAGTTACCTCTATCTTTCTTTACATCTTTCCAGCCATTGGTCATTCTCTCCATCCATTCATCCATCCATCCATTGTATAATAGGAGAAAGACTGCATGGAATTTAATTATATTTTGTCAACAAAATGATACAGTTGTCCCTCTCAAGAGAGGCCAACACTTTTATAAGACTGCATGATTTATAATGCCACCTATTAACAAAGATAGGGTGGCATCAAAAGACAAGGACCACAGGATCATTGTACAAATACAATCAAGCCCTGTTTTGAGCAATCACTTCTGGGATGCAAGGAAAATAATCAAGCTTATCAGACAGGTGGTTGCTAAAAAACAGTTGATTTTACTGTAGTAATTTGGATGCATGGGTCATAAAAGAAAGAGAGGTCATTTGCACAATAGAAGTGAATTGTCAGGCAGGTTGAATTATCTGTTTAATTTTATTATCTCAGGTTAAAAGATAAAATCAGTAAAGATAAATTTATATGTTCAACTTGATTTCTTGTCTTAAATGGATTGACATCAACTTAATGTACATGTTTGCATGTACATATGTATTTACTACAGTAAAATGTACACAGGTATAGCTTTTAACAGCAAAATCTGCACAAACCTGTTAACAGAAAGGATATTATAATCACTTACTTGCTTCATTGTATATTTAACACGGATGTATATTTTTTATATTTTCTCACCTTTGTGACAGAAATTCCACTGATTTGTCATCCAGTTTTGTCTCCATCTTGTTGTCAAGATTTGTTTGTCTTGGGTCATATGGTAGTTTGGTGACTTTATGAAATAGCAAACCATACTTAGATGTTTTCACATTTCAATATGATATCTGTGGTAGATCACTGATGTGATGGATTGCAGTTAGGATAATTTATTCCCCTTGTAAGTACAAATGGGTGGATGAACGCTGGCTGTTGTGAGTTTGAATCTGTCACCGTAGAAAGTTACATTTTATTAAGAGGCAATAATGTAATCATTAAAATATGAATGACCTTGAGATAAAGTTCTTCTGTCTCATTTATATATCAACTTTGCATCAACAGCACTGCTGTGTCTCTTCTGAACATGCTTTCAGAATGTTAAAATAAAATTGAAAAAAGTTACAGTCTGGTTGTGATCCCCTAGGCAAAATATCTCCTGTGTTCCAAGTTTGAGTTCAGTTAATGTCAGGACTTGGACAAATAAACATGCTGTACAATGCAAACAGCACCAGCCCCAAAATGCTATCACATATTGCACTTGCAGACCTGGGTCTATGCAGTTTGTTAGGAGTAATCAGTAGAATAATAGACTTTGATATGCAGGCACATTATGATACTGTAGATCAAGAACTTTGCTGTTTGCAGTGTGATTCAACCTGTGAGTGAGTACATATGGTACATGGTAATTGCATAACAGCTGTCATTTGGGTTGCTTTATAATTGATCAACTGGTATGGACTATAGACATCATGTAATTAACAGTATGTAGTTGATAGTTCAATTTCCTGGTCTTTTTGCCAACCATAGAACAGATATTACAGTAAGACTAGGGAGAGAAAGGTGCAGACTAGTACATTTATCAAACTTTTGGGGTGGATTTATTATCAGACAATGAAAGCATTTGTAAATATTTACCAAAATTTTGTAAAATGGAGAGGTGGGCTTGTCACCTGATAAATATGGTAATGACAGACCAGGTTAACTTAGCCTCTCCAGATTTCTTGGGTTTCCTATACCTTTTCGAACCACTTCATGCTGGATTCTGTGCTGTCAAGAAAGTGTTTCAATTATAAGTTTTCATAATGTATGCAATCTAGGTTTCAAAATTAGTAAAATGTAAATGGTTCTTAATGAAAAATCAATCCATCAGCCTACTTGATATGTAATTTTTAAAAATTTATTTTATGTTGTGAATAAATATCGCTAATTGCTAAGATAAATTCTCTTTTGACAATGTTTATACATCTCTCAGGATACACACAATTCTGATTGCAAAATTGTACATTTCATTTGCATTGGTAAATATGTAATTCTTGTGCACAAACAATTGAAAGAAATAAAATGTTTTGTTTGGTTTTGTTAAAAGGTACAATATCATTTGATATATATGTGTAAGATTAGTTAAATATTTACTTTGTAAATATATATTCTAAAGTGTGCTAAAGGAATAATATTTGTATGGCACGTTGTTAATGTGTTTACAGAATAAGATGGTACCATGCGTTTCAGTGATTTATATCACCTTTATTCTTTGATTGTTTCCCTCTCACTGATTAGAATTGTTTTGTCTTTTGGTTTACTTATCACTGCTTAGAGTTGTTTCCTCATTATGTTAGATTTGTTTCGTATTTCAATTGGCAATTTTCCATTCTGATTGAATGTATAAGTTTTTATTTTCACATTGGAAATGGGGCATCTTTATTGCATACATGAGTTATTTCCCCTATGATTTACATTGTCTTTCTTTAATTTTGGGTTCAGTGCCTTATATCCCTTCTTGTTTTTTTAGTTGTCCCTTCTTGCTTTTTTGAGTTGATGCTGATGTCTGTGTTAGTGATTACTTTTCACTATTCTTCAAAAAGTAACACTTTCAAACCTCAATGGTTAGTGCATGCTTAAAAAGTTTTGACCGCTTTGGTGGCCTAGTGGTTTGAGCATCTGCCTTAGATGTGGGAGGTCATGGGTTCGACCACTAGCCGAGTCATAATGTATTAACAGCTGCCTTGCTTGGCACTCAGCATTAAAATGTTAGTGCTTGGACTGGTTGGTCTGGTGTCGGGATAATTTAACTGGGTGGGACATAATGCCACATGTCTGCAGCATGATGTCCTAGTGCTAGACATCACTATAAACTGTCACAATGCAGATATCATAGCGATATGACTGAAAAATTGTTAAAGCTGCATTAAAAATTCAAATCACACAAAGGTTAGAGCAGAGAGGGAAATGATGAGCAAGGTAGACTGGGAAACATTTCAGTCCCTTTTTTGAATCCGATTTGACACTTGATCATTGGACAATTTAATGGATCCAATACTTTTTTTACAAAGATTCTCCAGAATGTTGCTAGGGATACATTTCAAAAACATCTAGATTGTTTCAAACATGTCAATAAACCATTGCTAGGTGATGCTTGGAAAGACGTCTTCAGGGAATAGAAAAAGTTTCTTTGAAATTTCATTGCCAATCAATCCAACAACTTAAATCAGAATAAATTCCATATATAATGGCTAATTATTTATTAAATCAGTATGGAATATGTTGCAAAAAAAAATCACTGGCAAAATTAAAAGCAGCTAAATCAAACGCTTTGTGAAATCTGATGAAATTGTGACAACCTTATGAGAAATTTCATATACATGTGCATTGGCCAACATTCACGAAAACTCACACACAAGAGACTCATTCTGTAAACTTTTTCCATTTGAAAAACCTGAAAGAAAAGGTTCTTTGAAATTTCAAATCTGCTGATGCTGATTACTGGACTCTTCAATCAAACCCAGAACACCTTGGCAGAACCACTATCAACTTCTAAAACACTTGCCTGGTACAGTTCTCAGTACACTACTAAATGTTTTCAGTAAAATGACTGAATCAAATCGAACATCATTGCACATGCTCTATAGGATGTATACAAAAAAACTTAGTTAATCAAATAAAGAATTGAAAAAAAAGCTGTTTTATGAGAAAAAAAATAGAATTATCGATAAACTTCACAACTCTTTGTCTTAGTGTCTTATAGATGGTACATTGTTTTTTAATTGTATTTCATACCCAAAAATATTTTAAAAAATGGGCTTGTTTTGGAAATTGCAATAACATTTCTGTTTACCAGCTTCAAATTTAAAGAGGCTGTTCTTATGAAGAAATTTGTATTCAAATTATTATCATGTTGCACTGTTGTGCTGAGACCTAAATAATAACAAATTTGCAAGTTTTATTGTCTGTGTATCTTTGGTCTTTTGTTGCTTGTTGCTATTGCATTGTTTCTACTTAAGTTTTTACACCACATAAAAATTTTTTGCAAATGGAACTACAGATTCTATCATAATCTATTTCATTCCTACTTGAATTGTATTCCTAAATTTCAGATGAAAAACGAAAAGAGTTTTAAAACAATTTCAATATTTTGCTTCTTATTTTTTAAATTATTCTTTCTTAATCCTTTAAATGTTTTAACTGATCTTGCACACATAGTTCAAATGCATGGTTCAATCATTTGGGAGAATGTCAGCAGGGGGATTAAAAAAAAATTAAACAGATGGAAATAAGTTTATGTTAAGCAGTATTTTGCTGTTTAACATGCCTGAACATTACCAATTAATATATAAAGGATACAACTGACTAAAATGAATATAAACACCAGTATATTTGTTGGCTGCAAAAAAAATATTACAAAATAACTTTAATGTTTTACGTCTAATTCTTATATGAGACAATAAAAAAATAAAAGAAGCTACTATCTATAAAGTAAGATAAATGCCAAGGTTTCTTTTAAAAGATTTTATTTAGTATCTTTTTCTACCCATGAAAGTGGGACCTGAGTTGTACAGTGAAACGCACAACAAAAGGATTATCTTCAAATCTGCTATCAGATATGCTATGTGTCAATAGAAGATAGAAAATGAGTCTACTTCATTTTCCAAAAAAAATTTAAAACTTAAATAATATAGGTAAAACTGTTAGTAATCATTAATTAAAAGTCATACATCAGCCTGAAGCTAGACTGTGTAAGTCAACATATGTATGTAAATATATATATATATATATATATATATATATATATATATATATATATATATATATATATATATATATATATATATATATATATGTATATGTATGTGTGCATATGTATATATATATATATTTATATGTATGTATGTGAATGTATGTATGTATATATATATATATATATATATATATATATATATATATATATATATATATATATATATATATATATATATATATTTGTGTGTGTGTGTGTGTGTGTGTGTATGTATGTGTATATGTATGTATATGTGTATGTATATATATATATACACACACATACATATAAATATATATGTATGTGTGTGTGTGTTGAACTTAACACTGAATCACACTACAGTGTCATTTGAATCTAACAAGCGAATCTTTACTTTTTGATCACTGAGTCTTTTTTTATAGGATGGATACCACCAATCTCCTTCATTGTCAATGTACAGGTTAGAAACTAAGTTTAATTAATTATTGAATTTTCACAATCAAGCTTTATCATATACACTACTTGAATAAAAACATGTAGAGAATCACCTGCCATAAAGTGTGAAGTCATTTATACAAATACAGATTTTGAACTTGTTTGCAAACAACAGGATTTTCGCCATTGATGGTTAATAATAATCAGTTGGAGTATTCTTGTAATGGAAAGATGTGTGGATTGGTTCAGAATTGCTGTCTGCCCAGCAGCTACTTCTATAGTGTAACAGACTTTTTAAGGAAAGGAATTTACACTTTGTTTCAGTAATTGTTCATTTATGTCCCAGCAAGTGATGAAAGTTATTGGTCTGTATCTTTCCTTTTTTTTAAAAAAATTGGGGTTTACCATTAAACCAAAAAACTGTGATTTCAGTGGTTTGAATAGGCATCTATGTAGAGGTTGGAGGTAACATTTTATTCTCTCTCTCTCTCTCTCTCTCTCTCTCTCTCTCTCTCTCTCTCTCTCTCTCTCTCTCTCTCTCTCTCTCTCTCTTGCACACATTATCTAGCCCTCTTTTCTATACATGTTGTTCTTGTTGTTGATGGGTTTTACACCATTTTTCAGCATGAGATAGGCTATACACAGTAGCCAATATAAATGGTGGAGGAAGAACCAGAGAAAACCCTGGAAAGAATCACTGACGCACAACAAGCTACTGGAAAGCTTTCTCACATAGCCACATTGGCCAAACCTGAGACTCAAACCCACACAGACAGAAATGAGATGGCAGTGATCTATAACTCTGAATGTTTTGACTATTCAGCCACTTGCACTTCCCCTTAAATGTTACAGACCGGTAATACCTAGGTATCACTTTAATTTATTGAAATGTTGACAGCTTTGATAATTGAATTTTTAAATATAGTTTTAATTGTTACACACACTTTGCAGGTGAAATATAATTTTGTTCACTGATCTTCCTTTTTTACTATATTTCTGATTAGTGCTCTGTGTATGAATGCATGAGAGAGAGAGAGAGAGAGAGAGAGAGAGAGAGAGAGAGAGAGAGAGAGAGAGAGAGAGAGAGAGAGAGAGAGAGAGAGAGAGAGAGAGAATTGGGATGGGGGACTTTTGTTTGTTTTACATATTCTGTTTGATTTTATTGTTGAAACAAGCTAACATTTTTGCATTTATTGTCAAGATTGAGTCTCCCCAATCTTATTGTTCCTAGAAAAGATTTCCAGATATTTTCTGAGCAAACTTCTTGATTTTTTCCCCCAGATTTCATGGCAGTTGCCTTTCACAGATGCTGATATGTTTACAGGTTCCACCATTTTGGTATTTATAACATCATGTGCCATTAATGATGACATCCTAATAAAGGAGGAGAGCGAATAACTCTTCTCAACGATCACTGCCATCTCACCTCTATCTTCGTGGGTTTGAGTCTAGGATTTGTCGAATGTGGATATGTGAGAAAGCTTGCCAGTAGCTTCTCGTTGGTCTGTGTTTTTTTCTGGTGATTTCCTAGTTTCTTCCTCCACTATTAATACTGGCTGCCATGTATAGCCAATCATGTGTTTAAAAATGGCATTAAACAACAACAACAACATTTCTCAACACTACCAGGAGAGCTCTTGTCCTGCATTTTACAAAACACAACTCTGGTGTATGTGTGTGTAAATTGCCAGGAAACTAAGAAAAATTGTATAAAGAACTTATTTCATTCCCAGGGAGCAAGGGATGGAATAATAATAATTTCAGTGAAAAAAGACAACTCAGAAACCCCTAGTAAGGTTTCAGTAACAATCATATCAGCCAACAATATTTACTATATGTACTCTCTTATAAGTGGAGTTCAACTGCAAACTGCTTATAATAAGATCTGCCTTGGGTCCGTGCAGTTTATTAGGAGTATTCAGTAGAACAACAGAGACCTAGATTTGCAGGTACACTATGCTATGGCACAATAGGATTTTTGTTGTTTGCAGTTTGATTTGACTTATAAGCTAACATTATAGTATTAATATTTCAGGTGCTGAATTTGGTTCAATGAATGGCTGATGTTTTTTTTTTTCTTCTTGACCTTAAAACAGTTTTAAGTAGAGTAGTAGTCACATGAAGACAACCTCATACTTCTAACATACATCATAATGAAGATAATTGGAGAAGGGGGACAAAAATGTTTTTGTTTTTTTTGTTGTATAAATCTTTTGCTACTTTATGCTGTCTTGGTAAGAAGAACAGTGATACCAGTTCCAGAACTGGGTTCTTTCCAACTGTTGTCGAATATTACCATATATACTTGCTTTAAAAGTGGAGTCCAACTGCAAACTGCACAGACCCAGATCTGCTGGCTCATAATGGGATCTGGATCTGTGTAGTTTGTTAGGAGTAATCAGTAGAACAAACAACATAGACCCTTATCTGCAGGTATATTATGCTATGGCAGATCAGGATCTTTCTTGTTTGCAATTTGACTCAACTTATAAGCGAGTATATACAGTATTAAAAGTATT